TGCGCACTGAGCAAGGACCTGACGCTCTTCCCCGCCGGCGACCGCACCGAGATTGGCCAGAAAGGCGTCAACCTCAGCGGCGGCCAGAAAGCGCGCATCTCGCTCGCGAGAGCTTGCTACAGCGACGCCGACATCTTCCTTTTGGACTCGCCCTTGTCGGCCGTCGACGCGATCGTGTCGAACGAGATTTTCACCAAGTGCTTTCTCGGTCTCCTCCGGCACAAGACGATCGTGCTCGTGACGCACTCGCCCGAGATCATTGCGTCTTCGTACGTTGACCGGTCGATCGAGCTCAAGCAAGGCCAGCTGCTCATCACTGAAGTCGACAAGCAGGACGCCCCGATCCTCGTCTCGCCACTCAAGGCGCGGCTCGGGTTTGCAGCCGACGAAGAGCTCGAGGTTGATCCGAAGGCGCGGGCGGTGCCGAACAGGGACCTCTTTCTGACGCCAACCATCGCATCACCCTTCCCGATGGACTTTCTGGGCGCCTCGTACACGCCGTATGGCGACGGCAACGCGACGTACGACGAAGAGACGGCTGGCGGCAAGCTCATCCTCGACGAAGAGCGCAGTCACGGCCGTGTCTCGACCAAGATCTTCTCGGCGTACCTCCAAGCGATCGGCGGCTGGCCGATGGTGTTTCTCTGGGTCGTGCTCCTCTCGGTGTGGCAAGCGCTCGCGATCGCCGGGGATTTCTGGCTGAGTACGTGGAGTGCAACGGCGGCCGTCGTCTCGAAGGAGACATTTTTGGACCAGGCCGAGTACTACTTGGGGGTCTATGCGGCGCTGGCGTTTGGCGGCATTGTGCTGACGATCCTCCGCACGGCGTCGATCTTGCTATCGGGCCTCAAGGCGTCGCGCGTCCTCTTTGATGACATGACGAAGGCGCTGCTGAAGGCGCCCATGTCGTTCTTTGATACGAACCCGCTCGGGCGCATTTTGAACCGGTACGCTGGTGACGTGACGACGGTCGACACGCAGATCGCCAACACGCTCAGCAGCTTCCTCGCGATGGTCTTTATGGCGGCATTTGCGCTTGGCACAACCATTATTGTCATTCGGTCGTTTGGCTTGCTCATTATCCCGCTCCTCTTTATCTACGTCTACATTGGCAATGTCTATGTGACACCCGCGCGCGAGATGGAGCGCGTCAACAAGACGACGCGGTCGCCGATGATCAACTTGATTTCCGAGTGCATTGAAGGCGCGCTTGTGATTCGCGCGTTTGGCCCCAAGCAAGTGCGCCGCTTCCAGCGTCTCCACCACCGCAACGTCGATGGCAACTTGGAGGCCAACTATGTGAGCTCGGTCTTTGCGCAGTGGTTCTCGATGCGCATCCAGCTCACGTCGGCGGTCATTTTGCTTGTCATTGCGACGTCGCTTGTCTTCTCCAAGGACTTTATCAGCCCCGGAGTCATTGGCCTCGTCCTCAACTACGCCTTCTCGATCCTCCCGTTCTTTGAGTGGATCGTGCAGTGCTGGTCGTCGCTCGAGACGGCGATGGTCGGCCCCGAGCGGCTCTCCGAGTACGCGGCGATCGAGCCGGAGGCGCCCCGTGTGATCCACGGTGCGACGGCCCACGACTGGCCGACGACGGGCCACGTGACGTTTAGCAACATGAGCTTCCGCTACAAGGAGCACGATGCGCTCGTGCTCAAGGACGTCAACGTCGACATTGCGTCGGGCGAGAAGATTGGCATCGTCGGGCGCACGGGCGCCGGCAAGTCGAGCTTGACCATGGCGCTCTTCCGCATCAACGAGCTCGCGTCCGGCTCGATCTCGATCGACGGCGTCGACATCAAGTCGGTGGGCGTCAAGACACTGCGCAGTGCGATCGCGATCATTCCGCAAAACCCCGTGCTCTTCAAGGGCACGCTGCGCAACTACTTGGATCCGTTCAGCGACTATGGCGACGACCAGCTCTGGGACGCCCTCGGTAAAGTCCGCCTCCAATCGCGCATCGCGTCGGTCGACGGCCAGCTCGAGAGCCACGTCGAAGAGAACGGCGAGAACTTTAGCGTCGGCGAGCGGCAGATGCTGTGCATGGCGCGGGCCCTCCTGCGGCAGGCGCGCATCGTGGTCATGGACGAAGCGACGGCGGCGATTGACCACGAGACGGACCAGAACCTCCAGCGCGTAATCCGGACCGAGTTTGCGGCCTCGACCGTCCTCACGATCGCCCACCGCCTCGACACGGTTTTGGACTGCGACCGCATTCTCGTGTTTGACCAAGGCCGGCTCGTGCAGTGCGACAAGCCGCAGCAGTTGATTGACGACGGCACTGGCATCTTTTACGAGCTCTGCCACGAAGGCGGGTACCTCGACAAGGTGCTTGCGTCGCCGTAAGCACGTCGCTTTGGTTGCCGCTTTTTAAAGATTTTATTCATCTATTGCTCGATTTCCCTACTCGTATCTGGAGTTATTGTTGAATGGACCTGACCTTGTTGTCTGGAAATGCGGCAGGATGTTCCTTACGACTGAGAGACAGTTTCAAAATGTGGTTGATACATTGATACTACTTGAAACGCTTGACAGTCGGACCTCATGACGTTATGATTCCACGGTCTCAAACACCGATTAGGGGTCAGCGAACCACTCAAGTCCAAGTACCTTTTGAGCACGACCCTTGGCGCCTGCACGTGGTCAACTAAATACTATGACTAAATACAAACTAGTAGTTACATGACATTTACTTGCGTGAATCAACACAAGTTCAATGCAGAGCGAAAGTCGCTCTCGCGCACGGACGTATCAGACAGTGCTGTGCGTCGGGAAACGTCAACGATCGTCTCGGTCAACTCGGTCCAAAGCTCCTTGTTCTGCGCCAATGCGGCGAGCTCTGTGCCATCTTCGCGGGTCTTGAAGCGCTTCTCAAACGACGGGGCGGTGACGAGAGCAGCGTTGAGCGCGCGTGGCAGCAACGTCATCCGGCGGTCGGGCCACAGTACAGCGCCGGAGCGCTCCAAGTACTCGCTCATTATCGCGCAATTGGCGCAGTTGTCGGACGTGCTGCGAGGGACGTCGTGACCAAAATGGTCTGGTCGCGCTTGAGCGATTCGAAAGCGCGGCGACTTGGTCTGGCCATCGTCGAGGACGGCAGTCTTGTCAGCCAGACGCGCGCCAATTTCGCTTCGGATTCGACTCGCTCTCATTGGGGACACCTTCCGACCCACTTGGGCCTTGATAAGCTTATTGATGGTCTTGTGCGTCAGCTTGGACGTCGGCACGCGCTTGGCGACCTCGGACTGCATGACAATGTCCGTCATCTACAACCGGGACTTAGTTGATGGTCACTGAGGATCCTCGTACCGCGCGAATCGACAAGGTCGTTTCACGCGCGCCCGGCGGCAAAGGACGCAGCACGCACATGTGGTTGTGTCGGAGGACCACGTCCCGGAGCTGGACGGTGCCGTCTTTCTTTTTTCTGCCCTTGATCAAGAATGGACAAGCGCTGGCGCCGCTCTCGAAGGCCTCGTGGTAGCTACATCATCAGAGCCTCCTGCTACAGCGAGGACGTGCTGCTAGAGGACTCACCGACACAACCAGGACCGCTCTTGACCAGAGCTCACGCTTCGCGTCCGGAAATGCGCCGTAAGTGCAAAGTCTTGAACCGTCTTTGCGAGCTCCTTGTACGTGGCAAAGACCACGTCGACCGTCAGACCGCACGAGGCCGCTGCGTCATGATACGCGGCGTCGTACATCGTAGGATGCAGCGATGTGTGCACACTGGAATAGCCGTACGGGACGTCTAATCGGTGCAACCGACTATAGTCGCGGCCGACGGGATGGAACCGGCTCATCACGAGTTGAATTGCACGGCAGAGTCGACGACAACCAAAAGGTTTAAGCTGCGTTCAACTATACCATACAAAAACGTAGATATCGCGCAACTTGTCCCGCGTCATTTTCCATCCAATTGCGAGCGTCAATGGGCCCGGGTTTGAAGCGGCGACGCGAGGCTTCGTCAAGCGCAGCCTCGAAGAGAGGGCAGCCATTCGAGCTGCTCTACTGGGCCTTCCTTCTCCCTGCGTATGGCAGGCGACACGCATGTCGCGGTGCTTTCGCTGACCGTGTCAAGGCCGATTGCGGCTTCACGCTATGGGCGCAGGGAAGGCAGCTCGCAGCTTCGCGATGGCACATGATCTGCAGCGTGAAAGGCTGCAGCGCGCGGGTCGTGTACCGCAAGGAAGAGAATGGTGGTGGCATCTACCTCATCGCGGAGAACGCGGGTCATACGCACGAAGTCCGACAACCTCCAACGCCGCCAGTCGCTCCAGAGCCCGCGCCGCCAACGGCATCGGAGCCCAATCCTACTCAAGAGCCGGAGCCCGTGAAGGCCAAGACACGGCATTTACCGGAGCCCAGCAAAGATTCGCCGGCTACTGCATCGGAGGCCAGGACATCGTACCCCGAGACGCCCGTTTCCAGCGAGGAGCACAAAGGCGATGACCCAGTCGATGGACCCGCTGCCGATCAAGTTTGTGCACACCAAAGCGACGAAGACTCCAGGACTCAAGGAGGCTCGCCAGATCCGCCAACGCTATTCTGAAATGAATGGACCGTTTAGCATCGATTTTAAACAAGGGAATGCATTGCACTAGACAATACGGATGACAATGCTTCCTATGCGATAGTACGCGTAGTCATAGCGACGATGTAGAGGTCGATGAAGAGGCTCGTGCGATTCGGTGGCGCGTCGCCGAGCAAGTTGTCTTCATCTTGGTACCAGAGGTCGTCCACCGTGAGCTCGATGCGCGGCGGAGCCAGCGTCGGGTGGGCCCAGCGCACATGGTGCAGAGCCGCTTCGTGCGCAACCCCGTCTTCGAAATGCTGCATCGCATCGCGCACCTCGTCGCTCATCCCAGAGACGATGTCGCTCGACAATGGCACCGTGCCAAAGCTCGCGTCAAACTGGAGCTGCGGGCGCCAACCTCGCCGCGAACGTACTTGAGCGCAATGGCGCCAAAGCGACCAACCTCGCTTTGCGGTTTCTCGAAGAGCTTGATAGCGATAGCGCTTCTTGAGGATGATAAACCCTCGACACTTCACTTCGTCTCGAGCCCTCGACTGTGAAGAGAACGCGTATATAGTGTGGGAATGAGCGTGTCAATATGTTGTCGACTACAGGAAGCGGGAACGCGCAGATAACGAGGTCATCCGACAACGATTTTTTATGGCAACAAGCTCGCGCCGGCCGACTACGTTATTCTATCGCACGGCGGTGAAGTCAATCGTGAGACTCGTTGTCGACATTTCGTGCTGGCGGTAGGTCACCTACACCTCGGTGAGTGCTCCGAAAAAAGCTACTTGATCGTGTGTACTTTGGCCATATCGAGGAGTCGGCGCGACGCCTCAAACTTCCAGCTAGTATCGGCATGAGGTTTACATACGACTCTGGACGATTAGAAAGCATACTCATCCTTGTACTTGTCCGAGTAGTAAATGACATTCTTGATGCCACTCTACGTATCTGTTGAGCTTACTTTCATTGATAGGCGTACTTGGATGATGAGTTTGGCGCATTCGTTACAAGGGAAGAGCGCCACGTAAATCTAGTCGATATGAGACATGTTGTCCTGCAGACAATAGCGCTGGCGAGTGTAGTACCGTGCAGCCGTGCACGCTCGAGGAATTTTTGTTGAGAATCGCATTCATTTCCGCATGACAAACATACTAGACAAAAGCACGTCGTATAAAAGACAAAATTCGAGAGAGAGATAGTACGGGGTATTTGGTGTCGAGTGGCGACGCGGCGGATCGCGCCCACGGCAGCTCGTCGTCGTCGCAGCCGTTGGGAAATCCGTTGTAGCCGATGCCGACAATCTTCTTTTCGCTGTTGACAATGCTACATCATATCTCGAGATGCGTCCCAAAGCTTGCTGAGAAGGACGTACCAGGCGCCAACTTGGGTCGACGGATCTACATAGTCATAGTACCCCTCTATAAACAAATACGAGCAGTGCGGAGCGGACCTTTGGACCGCATCGCACTCAGGAAGGCGACGCTCATGAAATAGTCGTCCCAGGACAAGTAGTCAGTGCGCTTTTGCACCAAGTTGGTCTCGGCATGCTCGGCGCGGGCCTTCTTGGCCGTGTGGTGTCCGTCAGCTTTGTCGTCGTCGTCGTCGGCAGTCACGGTCGCCGGGCGCTTCTTCGCACTCCTAAAGAGTCCACGTGTCATTGTCGGTGTGACGGTAGCGCATGCGGTGACATACGCGATGGCCGCCTTTTGCTCCAAAAGGTACGCGGCCGTCGCCATTTTGTGGGTCCTGCGCATGCGGTGGACGTTGATGGCGTCATCGAGCTTCTTGGCGCCGCCGTCAAAGATGACTTCGCCGCACACCGTGCACTTGGACGTCGCGACGCCGTCGTCAGAGTCGCGCTCAAGCACCCAGAGCGACGGCGCCGACAGTACCTTCCAGCGGTTCTCGACCGCGCACGGTGTGCGGTCCGTCTTGCCCGACGCCGCAAGCGACGCGAGGTGCGCGGTTACGCGCGCCCAGTACGCCGGGCCGCGCAGGAGATCGTCGGTCTCGTCCTGCGAGATGGTCTGCACAGCCTGGCAGAGCTGGTCGTCTTCGTCGTCGGCCCAGCGCTTCCCATGCCCCATGAGTCCTTGGTTCGTCTTTGCTGCAGGCAATTTGGGTCGCCGCCTTTTTAGCCAATCCACGACCGTGTTTTGCATACCCGCCTGTGATTGGCTGGATCGCAATCGCAACAGCAATTTCGGTGCATGTGGCCCCGCAGAGCCCAGAGCCATAACGACGACTCGTATTCGAAGCTCCTGGTTCCACTGACTTGCGTACTGGGACCCTGTGTGGTACTGAGGCGCCTCGCTAACGCAATATATGCACGTCGATTTTGAAATGCACTTCTTATGAGGGATGTATCCTAACGTCTTCCCTTCTTCCTTTTATAAGAAGGATAAGAACGTAGTTTGGCTTTGGTGACGTGGCGCGTGCCATTGATATGGCGGTGGCATTGCGCATATTGTGTTGGTGAGTTGGCAAGTAATTGGGCGGATGCTAGAACATCACTAGATCGCATTATCGCGCTCGCGCTGCTGCTACATGTAGTATGAGGAGACAAGGTTAGATGAAGTGCACGTTCCTCAGAGAGTAGGGCGGTATCCGCCAACGTGCGAGGCGCCGAGAAGCTTTCGCTGACGACGCGGAGAAGCTTCAGCTGACGACGCAGTGTCATGGCATCCAACTTGGTGGTTTGCATGGGAAAACCTCATCGAACGCCGCCAATGCACTCGGCGACCTGGGCGACGGCCGCGGCAAAATTTGGCGTTTGCACGACGGCGGGTCGTCATACATGTCCTCTACTGCACTGGGGACCCATCGAGCGCTTCAAAGATGTGTATATCTGCAATTGAGAAGCCAAACTATCGAATGCTTGGGAGGGTTTCGACAGATGTTGCACGACAGACCCCTCCGCGTCTCGCCACATTTCTAGCCACACTGCCGCGCCGCGGAGTCTGTAGAGCTGTACAAGTGTAGTCCACAGTTATGCTCGATCCAGTATCCGAGTCGCAGAGTTCTCGATTCCCTTCCATAAATGTACCGTGAGAGGGATCTTTTGTTCAAGAAATGTTCTGTGACGAGAACCCGCTGATCCCGTGGCAGTTCTCAATGCCTCCTTCATGTCGTTTATACAGGGCGCCCAGCAACGACGAGTCGTTCGAGTCTACTAGAGTTTGGGTGATGCAAAAGACCGCAAGTGTGTACTTGTACACGAGCACAGCGTCGTCTTGGCGCGAAACAATCGACTGAATTTCATTTCAAAGATACTCTTTTGTATCGACCAATCCGATGGCGCTTCAACGAAATCCATCTGAGTCTGGATCATTGAACTTGGGCACCGCGAAAGATTAATACATGATGCGCTGATGCAGCGTCGTCGGCGCAGCTCCACTGCATTGACGAAAGCAAAGGTTGAGGTCGTTTCAGATGTCGGAGCACCACGGAAAGACGGGCTACGGTGCAAAGTTGAAATGACTCTCTGTTACGATGGCCTCGACACGCTTCGGGCGCAGACATGCCTCCTCCTCACGTTTGACGATGCCGCGCCCAGCTACGTGCTTGGCGCTCGCCACCACCGCCCTGCGTGCGCTGATGCCGACGCCGGTGGTGCCGTTCTCGTCCAGCTCCACGCAGCAGTGAGCTCGCGACCCGACGCGAGATTGCACTTTGGAGACCTCGTCTACATGACGACACCTTCACCAGGCGGACTGCATGTCTTATCGACGGCGGCGATGACAAGTCGTCTCCACTGGTCATCACGAGGCGCCTTCAAGAAGCGCAACCTCTTTCGCCTAGCACCGAGCGACTCGGCGCTCGACGGCGCGATCCAGATGCACGACCAGTTCCACTTGCACAGTGTGCGCTGGCCAACGCACGTCGTTGGCTTTGATGCCAAACGCTCCGAGCTCGTGCTCCGAAGGAAACAACACCCAGTCGCCTTCTCGGCCCTAAATGCGGCCACGTACGCGGTTCGATTGGCCAAGCTGCACCGCCGCCGTCAGCTTCGTCGCGTGGCGCTGCCAGTTGTCTACGTGGCCCTCGAGGCATCGCGTGTCGAGCACTCCGAGACAAAAGACGATGCCGTACTCGCATTTCTGATTCCCGACTTGGTGCGCGCACGTTGATGTAATGAATACTTGTTGTGCCATCGGCTTTTCCGTTTTCATCTGCGTATTTTTACACTAAACGACGGTATGGGGCGTGACAAAGGTGCAGTCGCGCCATCCGAATATACCGATTTCGTTTGCGAATTCCAGTAGAACCTCGGCACCACTGTACATCACGATCCCGACGACGTTTTATTCCAAGCAAAACAAGTACCCAGTTTGCGCTACGGCGATGCCATCGCCACATGACTGTACGAGTGGCTTTACCACGGGCCCCGTGCGCTCAAGAGTACATACAATATGTACTCTTGGTGCGCTGCACCTACAGTTGAAGTCGATTCCATTCCTTTGACTGTTGGGGAATTTAAGGATGACCATGTTCCCCGTGCCTGCGCCTGTCCTCGCTACCAGCAACGTGCTCCTCCATGGTGTGGGTATGTCGAGCGTCACATAGTTTGTGATAGATAGTATACACTGTTCCACGTATGGTGCGTAACAAGTCGTCGCCGCACAGCTCAGAAGTCGGAGACGGCTCCGTGTGTATATGAACACACCCGCGTCGTTATGTTCCGAGTGCCCGTAGAAATTCGACGTGGTGATAACCGAGCCGCCAGCTTTTGTCGCCGGATGGCCCGTGCCACGTTTGAACAAGACCAGAAGTCCAGAGCACCCATAACCATTGCGCGGCTTGGACGAATCACAAACCCAGGATACCGTCCCCAAGGTGCTATGTTGCGTCAGTGCCGTTTGCGTCCAGTGATACGTCACATCGGAACGACGAAGGCGATATAGAAGCATCTTAGAATAGAGTTAACGTGACGCGCAGCACCGCTCGTCATGGTCATCGGTCGATCGTGATCGGTCGCCAACCTTTGGTGAATTTCGACCACATGTGGAGCGCAACATGTGTCTGGTACGTTTCCCAGACGTATCTCATTTGTATGGCACAACACTTCGCATGGCGTGCATGGCTCGCTCGCGCCGCGAGCCAATGCAATTTGCAGCATAAAAACACCAGACATCAGTAGTGGCTTACGAGCACGCGCAAACAATCGTTTGGGACGTCGGTGCCGACTGCAAAAGGGACAAGCTTGATAAATGCGATCTCCAGTCGTGCATTGCGTTCAGTGGTACTCTACGGGCGTCAAAAGTTGGGGAAACGACTGAATTTCAAGTGCAACGCGGGCCACTCGTCCAACATTATACGGTATTATTCCGGCAAAAAACGTCGGACAGGAGTCTCCTGCGACGCGCAGGGCCATCTGTTGCGACCTATAAACTCTGACGCGTACAGTTCGAGTCGATGTTTGCTCTATCTCCCAAGACACATGGAGTTCGCACCTTAGATCATCGTATCGTTCCAGTGTCATTTTACATTATGTCGCCACCGCAGCACACCCACAGCATGCAGCTCTCGTCGAGCATTGAGACCGCGACGCCCTTCGTCTTGACCTTTGACGTGACCAGCACACAGTCGGCCATGCTCGTCCATGAAGACCACAAGCGGCACGCGGCCGTGGCTGAAGCACGCTTCCTTCTCAACGGAGCCGAGTACATTGAGTTTGAGCTCGCGTCCAGCAAGCCCCGCGCACCGTCGTCGCCCTTGTACTTTGGCGCCGTCGTCCACGTCGTGTCCAAGGTGCATGGCCAAAAACGGTACCTCTGCGGGTCGTCGTTTCGCCGAGGTTTGCGCTGGTCGTCCGCAAGGTCCTCCAAAGGCCTCTTTCGCTTCGTGTCCCAAGACCACCTCGGCGGCCCGCTCCAGATCCAGGATGACTTTTGCCTCCAAAGCGTCAAGTGGCCAACGTACTTTGCGAGCTTTCAGCGACAGAGTTCTGCGCACGCGCTCGGTCGACTCGTGCTGAAACGCAGCATGGCACACGCTGTGGCCTTCTCCGCGCTCAACGCGATGCATCGGGAGTTTATGCTCTCGAGTCTTCGCCACCCTATCGCCCGCGACGACACCATCCCGACCGTCTACGTCTCGGAGCACTCGTTCGACACGGACATTGAGCTCGATGATGACAACTCGGAAGTCGACGAAGCGATCTTTGTTCTTGATACGTTGCCCACCAATGGAAGTGTGCACTATTCGTCGGGACGGCTAGCTACGTCCGACGACGCGCTGCCGGTCGCCTACCGCGCCGACTGGCAGCGCCACTCGGCCCCAACCGCATGCAGTGCGTGAGTCCTTATCGCTCTAATATTATTTTTCTTATTGCTCCATTTCCCTCTCGCCAAGCTTTTCCGTCCGGTCGAGCTTCCCCAGAGAGCAACACACGGATATCGGTATCGACGGTATGCATACGTAAACGACACCCGCGGCGCCCAGAAACACACGCTGCGAAGAATGTCCTTCTTGCGCTGTCTCATGCTGTGAGTCAGGGATAGGGTGCCAGCCAAAACTTACCCAGCGTCACCGACGCTTGCTTTCAAAGGCAATTGGCGTCACGCCCGGTAGCTGTCAACTGACTTGTTCATACGACATGATCAAGGAAATGACTTTGTGAAAACAACACATTTTGGCCGTTTCAATCATATTTTGGGTCGTGTAGGGCTCTTTTCAGTAGTCAAAGTCCTCGTAATCACTGTCGTCGCCTTCGTCTTCGATGTCTTCGTCCGATTTGTCCTCGAGGTCCGAGACGATCTCGGCGTTGCGCACATCCAGGTCATTGGGCAGGTCCTCCCGTGCAGGGTCGATGAGCGCCGTGTACTGCTTCCACGCGGCCAAGTCGCCCGTGAACCCGGCCGCGTTGTAAATGTCTTGGGCTGCGCGGACGTACTTGGCACTCAGCGCGCGCGCGATCGCAAGGTTGCAGCGGTGCTTGGTCTCATCGCGGGCGACGAGCAGCTCTAACGTCTTGTACTTGTAGTTGCAGGCCGCCCTGTAGATGCCCTGGTACGTGAATGAGGCGCCGGCCGCCAAGAGGTACGTTGTAATTTCGTTGAAGCCTTGCCCGGCCGCGCGATCGGTCGCCTCGTCGGTGCACGGCTCGTTGTAGACTTGGTGATGCTTGCGCACCCAGTCAAACTCGCCCCACTGCGCCGCCCACGCCATCGCGCGGTCGCTGCGAAAGCCACGTGCGTAGTGGTCCCACACAATGTCTTCTTGGCCGTGGCCGGCCGCAGCCTCGAGCGTTGTCTGCGAGAGAAGCTCGGGCCGGACGCCGACCAAAAACGTGTAGAGGTCGTCGTCGATGTTCCAGAGTGCGTCTTCCAAAGCGCGAGACGTGCAGCCTTCGCTCGGACGATGCGTCTGCAGGAAATGAACAATCTCTACGTGGTCTTTACGAATCGCGGCATTCATGGGCTTGGTGCCCGCGGTCCCGACCGGCACGCGACCGTGCAAATACTGAAGGATGTGCAAATGGCCGTGGCGCGCAGCTTCGGTCATCGCCTTGACGAGGTGGCTGGCGTCGTGATAATGGACACACAAGAACGTCACGACTGGAAGTGATCCGGTCGCCGCCGCGCTCGTGAAGGCAGCCTCCGAGCAGCCTTCGGTGCGGTGCCGATGTAGAAACTGCACCGCCTCGAGCTGGTTGGAGCAGGCGGCGGCGTCCATCACGCGCGCTGTGCATGGTACCGACAAGGCGGCCCGCAGAAAGCGAAGATCGCCGCAGCTCGCTGCCTCGATCAGCGACGTTTCCGGAAAGCCGTACCCACGCGCGTCTTCGAGAAAAGAGAGCATCGCCGCTCCGTTCGGCAGCTTTGCTCGCTGCTTGTACGCAAGGTCAAATCCGTGGCGGGAGCAGCCTTCGTCGCGGGCCAGGTGCAGCCACTTGACTACCTTGAGGTGGCCGTTCATGATCGCGTCGTCCATTGCACGCGTCGTGCAGTGCTTGTTGCCGGCGGCCGTGAGGCACATGAGCACATTCAGGTACCCGCGACCGGCCGCATGGTCCATGAGGAGGTCGTTGCTGTCCGGTGCGTCGCGCAGACGTGCGAGATCGACGCCGTAGTCGTCGCCCAGAGCGTAGAGCAGCGCTGCGTGGCCACCGTACGCCGCGGCGTGGGCGAGCGCGATCGGGCGATGCAAGTACGGCGTTACGGCAAAGTCCCAGCAGTTGCGCAAGCCAACATCGTCGAGGCTACTCGGCTGAATGTCGAACGACAAGTTGCGCCGCCGCGCTTCTCGGCCGTTGATGTCGTAGCCGTCACGAAAGCCGCAGTCGAGGGTGACGGCGTACCCGATGGCCGCTTGATACCGCTCGTACATGAAAAGCGTCCGAATGTGCTCGAACGATCCGCTCACGCGGTCGCGCTCACGGCTCGGGCCGCCGCTCGGTAGTGACGTCAAGTCGCCGGGCCAGTCCATTGCGTACGCATCAATGTACACAGCTTCAATCTCGGCGTCCGAGCGACTCGACGATGCGCTGGCCCAAATGCCGCGGCCCAAGTGGTAGAGCGAGAGCGGTCCGGCAAAGTCGAGGATGCGTGTCGAGAGGACGTCGTCGAGGCCATCGATGCGAGCGAGGAGATCTGTCATGCGGGCTGTGTCTTCTGAAATGAACAAAGGGTTTACAACATGCCCTATGTTGTGGCAGCGCAGATGGCAACGAGTGCCACCTGTCCTTGTGTGTAACCAAAGCACATATTGCCAAACCGGCTGAAATTCCCAATAAAATCTCATCCACAAAGATTTGTCGACTAAAATGCAAAATCCCTGAGCAAGCTCGCCATTGAATAATGAAGATGCGGGAGCTTGTAAAATCATTGCCATCGTGATTGCTCCTCGCGACGAGTGTGTTTGAATCATCCGTGCACCGGCGGTTTCCGCTCGTTTCTTATTGTACTGCAGACCAGAAGGTACTAGTGTACTAGTAGTATTTGAAACCACGTTAAAAGGTCGACCAAGGCCGCGTGTTGCTTGGTTTCTTTCTTCGGCCCTGAATCAGCTCACTGTGCTCTCATGAGTTGGAAGAGCTTTCTTGCACTGAACGAGGTCCAATGATTCCATCTCCACCTCAACAGCACCAGCAGTGGTCGGGCCGAGTTCTTTGGCGGCCGTTGCAAGGTATGGCAGGAGGACCCCCGGTCACCCATGTATCTGTTACAAAAGCCTGGGCAAGAAGTCGGGGGGCCTTGGGGTCGGAGGGCCTACCCTAGGGTCCCAAGGAGCCCGGAGGGCGGGGGTTTGGGACCTCTCGGACCCTACCCTAGGGTAGCGATTGACCCCCCAAGGTTTTTCAAGAAACACTAAGCTTATCTCCAGTGTGAAAGCACAGGATGCATTCCATTGTAAATGCAAGCTTCGTTGATTAAACAGTATTATACACGGCCGTGACTTCGTCACCGCGGAAGGTGACGTATTCGTGTGTGCTTCGGAGCACATGCTGGTGAAGTTCATCCCACTCGACCGCGCAGGCGTGGATGAAGGTGTCCTTGGTAGCTGCGGCCTTGGTCTCGATGCGCCACTTGTTGTACGACTTGGCATAGACAGACAAAGGCATTGTCGTCGAGGAGATCGATTGGCTGGTCGCGCACCATGGCTTCGGCAATAGCGCACACATAGATGCCGCAGTCGAGGCCGTTCTTTTGCTGTGTTTGGGGATAGAGCACGCGCCAAGCTGATTCATCGGCAAGCACATCGTCATTGCTGCTAGGAATCGTCGGTCCCTCGCAGTACCCGAAGCTGAGAAGCGAGGCATGCGCAGCAGCGGCCGTCAAGCCGTCACTTGAGATTGGGAAACCTCTCGCCGGCGTCGTTTGTTCACGTTGTGAACGTACAAAATAGAGAATATTCAGGTCGGGTACGTACAACATAGTGTATGTTCACGTTGTGAACTTGCAAAATAGAATGTGTTCAGGTCGGGTACGTACAAAATAGTGTATGTTCACGTTGTGAACTTACAAAATAGAATATGTTCAGGTCGAGTACGTACAAAATAGTGTAAGTTCACGTTTACAAAACCATGCATTGCGCTTCACCATGGCAACTTGGGAATGATCACGGCGACGGGTTTGACGTCACTCATGTGGCAGAGACATCGGCGCTGCTCCCGTATAGTGCCAACGACCTCCACCGGCATAGGAAGTTATGCCGCGATGCTATTGGCCGATGGTGTTCAATACGCTGTTTCTATTGGCCAATCAGTGGGGGTCCTATTTACCCTAGGGTCTATCTACAAATAGGGATGTATGAGGGGCGGGGGGCGGCCGCCTGGCCAGGTCTACCCTAGGGTAAGCCTTGACCCCCCTGGGTGACCAGGGGTCCTATGGCAGGCTTGGGATAGGAAAAATGAAGCAAGCGTCGTAACGACTACAATTCTTGGTGCAGTTGCGAAT